AACGCCGGCAGCTGCTGTTGATGATCGTCCCCTGTGTTTGTTTTTGGTTCTTGTTTGTTTGTTTTTGTTTGTTCTTAAGTGTTTGGATTTATGGTTGGTGTTATGTTTGTTTGTTCTTAAAAAGTTGTTGAATTTTGTGTGTTTTTTTGTGTGTTTGTTTTTGTTTGTTTGCTTTTTGTTTGACATATGGTGTTTGTGTTTGGTTGCGGTTCTGTTTGTTTGTTATTTGTGGTTGTTGTTATTTTTCATTGTGTGTTTGTTATTGTGTTTGTTATTGTTTGTGATGTTATTGTTGTTGCTAATGTATAGGGATTAGTGATGATAGCAATGATGGTGGTGGTGGTGGTTGTAATAGTTATAGTTGTGGTAATTATGATAATTACAGGTAGTAGTAGGTTTATGGTAGTTTAGATGGTAATGGTGATGATATAATTAACAATAGTAGGTCATGGTGCATTTTAATGGTGATGATAGCTGTGATAGTGGCCATACACCATCACCCCCCCCACACACACCACTATACCACCCCCCACACACCACCACCACCCCACACACACCTCTTCCCTACCACCTCCCTCAGATTCAAATCACCTACGACACATTAGAAATAGAAACATAATAATGAGCTAGATGTCAGAGATGGACAGGTATACACGGCCTTACCCTCGCTCTGTGACAGCAAGGTGACCGATTTGATACGAGTCTTACAGTGGTTCACTTTGACGCAGATAAGGTGTGAGTTACGCACCTGCAGAGTTACGCACCTGACGCCTGATGTAAACAGTGAGTGGTGATGATACCCAACCAGCCTGACAGTCCTCAGCCATAATTTGCCAACTTCCTCCCATTTAGATGTTTGTCAGTTGGCGCAAGTATGGCTGGCGTCTTGGCCTGCTTGGCGTGTTGTGCCAGTGACTTGTGTTTATATTCCTCAGTGTGTCATGTATTGCTCCCTGTGTCTTGTATTTGTCCCTGTTTTGTCTTCCTCCTCCCTGTGTTTTGTCTCCCTCTACGTGTCTGTCCTTCTCTTCGTGTTTGTCTTCCTCCTGTGTCTAGTTTGCCTTTGTCTTGCCTCTTCGTTTGTCTTGTCTGGTGATTTTTTCTTAGTTTTGTCTGTCTGTCAGTCAATGTGTATGTGTGTGTGTGTGTATGTGTGTGTGTGTGTGTGTGTGTGTGTGTGTGTGTGTGTGTGTGTGTGTGTGTGTCTACGCGTCCCATACTATATAATATATCATTTATCAAGTGCGTACACCTGCGTATATTGTTGACATTGTTATATCACCTCGGAGTAAAACTTCTAATAGTTAGTTGCTAGTTGCTAATATATGAAGAAGTTATAATTCAATAGATTAGAGGAAGATCTTTATATAAGGGATAAAACAGCTAAATCTTTACTGATGGAGAAATATTTTTTACCGATATTCCTCATAGCTATATCAATCTTCTTCCTGTGTCTCTCTCTCTCTCTCACTCTCTCCCTGACAGGATTATTGTGTATTAAGAGTTATATTTAAGAGTTATGAAGAGCCCTTGGTTGTAATAATCATGAAAGTTGTTATATCACCTCCAATTATAACACCTATCCAAAGTTCAGTAACATATAAGAGCTATAATGATATAATGACCATATACGGTATATTACTATAGTCATATAGGTATAATTAGGCCGGTGAATGAACTTTTGACGAGAGATTATATATAGTTTTTGTTTTATTGTAAATTATAATTGATAAGGTTTAATGGTGTGGGTATAATGCAATCACAGACAACTTTCCCCCGCGGTTTGTTTTTCTCTGGTCTAATTAACTCAGCAGGAATACACGTATATACCTTATATTTTTACCTTTAATTAACCCTGAAGGAAATACCGTAACGTAAATATTTAACCAACACCGCTACCTAAATTTGTTGGGGGGGGGGGAGGGGGTTCTTGTTGGAAAAATCCAAACTATGACTTTAAACCTGTCTTTACCTCCTCCGTCGCCCCCCTCTCCTCTCCCCCTCCCGACAGGACCCCCCCTAGGACCCCCCTCACATTCACAGAGACACCGAAGGGAAAAAAAATAATGCACAAGAATTTCTCTAGATTTCGCCTTTAAGGAAGAGAGAGGTGTGCGTGTGCGTGTGTGCGTGTGTAGGAGGTCATGGGGTTATAAAAACACTATACTAATTCAGGTGACAACACTAACATTACCTAAATGCTGGACGTGGTGGTGAGGGGGAGGGGGAGATGGCACCTCACCAACTACAAACTATCAACACAAACAAATACACAAACACGACTAACTCTCACTCCCACCACCATCACCACCATCACCACCATCACCACCACCACCATCACCACCATCACCACCAGCACCACCACAAAACAGTCTAATGCGGTAAACCTCGAATAGATTATGACCGCGGGCATAAAGTTTAGACCATGGGAGCTGCGTTGGTTTATCAGATTACACAATTTGAACCAAAAATCATTTATGACGCGGTCGAGGCAAAAATGGGAGTTGGGAGATGGTGAAAAACCGACTTCCTCGCTCAAGCCATTTTTAGAGTGGACTCCCATAAATCTTTATCTCGGATTTTGGCGTCTCGGTTTAAAGGCTGTGAGCTGGTGAGAACTGAATGTTGATGTGCAGTCAACGACACTCGGGGTACAGCCTTGACCAACACGTTTAGTTCAGTGTGTATGTGAGGTGGGGGGGGGGGGGCGTTCACACACACACACACACACACACACACACACACACACACACACACACTTTGTAATTAACTACAGTAAAGCCACCATTGACTGATTACATAGAGGTTTCTGGTGAATTTCATGACTGGTATAAAGAGCCAAGTTGAGCCATTATAAACTGTGTAACGAAGGCGCCAAAGAGGACATCACTGAGTTACCTTCACGCTGCAGTTCCTCCTTTAGCTGTGAGACCAGAGACACGCCCGTAAAACTGTGGGCGTGAATGACTTGGAGGAAGAGCCTTGGCGAGATACGAGAGTGAGAGTTATAACTTGGACGGTGCAGAGTGAGTGAGTGAGTGAGTGAGAGTGAAACTTAATGGTTTATGGTGGTGGTGTGTGGGGGTGAGGGTGTGTGTGGGGTGAGGGGTGTGTGTGGGGTGAGGTGTGTGGGGTGAGGGAGTGGTGTGTGGGTGAGGTGTGTGGGGATGAGGGAGTGTGGGGGTGAGGGGTGTGGGGGTGAGTGTGTGGGGTGAGGTGTGTGGGGTGGGGTGTGTGTGGGGGTGAGGGGGTGTGTGTGGGGGGGGTGTGTGTGGGGTGAGGGGTGTGTGGGGTGAGGGGGTGTGTGGGGGTGAGGGTGTATGTGGGGTGAGGTGTGTGGGGATGAGGGGGTGTGTGGGGGTGAGGTGTGTGGGGGTGAGAGGTGTGTGTGTGGGGTGAGAGTGTGTGTGGGGGTGAGGGAGTTTGGGGGAGTGAGGGAGTTTGGGGGGGGTGAGGGTGTGAGGAGGTGTAGTAATTACCAACCATCAAAAAACACTTAACTAACTCATATTCTTACGTCACACACCACACCACACCACACAACTACACTATCGTTCGTCACCATACTCCGTACTACACACACTGTCTCATTGTACACTCGCCATGCCTCAGTATACCACAGTAAGTTGTTTCCGTTGATATGGAACGATGACGTGTGTGTGTGTAGTGAGGGATGTTGTTTATGTCATGGTACGTGCTAAGTGCCTGGCTAGAGCTCACGTGCCACGCCCAGAGAAAAATTATCTAACCTTATCTACCCCCGCTGCTACTTCCCCCCCTCCTAACCCCTCTTCTTCTTCTCCCCCCCCCACCTCCCTCACCCCCCCCATCCTACACCCCTCTTCCTCCCCCCTTCCCCCTTCACCTCCCCTCCACTGTATCTCACTTTTCTACAATCATCAATTATCTCTGTAATATTAATTCGTGTTGAAGCTGTAGTACTGTATTCCTCACACCTTGACTACCTGTATCTCTGTCCTACTACAGTGTCTAATATATACAAGTTATAGAAATCGTAATGATAATGTTGTTAATGTATCTACAAGTCTCTATGGGGGTTGTAGATAATTCTGTACGGGTTATAGAATTGTGTGTTGTGTGTGGGGTTGTGTTTATGTATACTGTGTGTATGTATATTTGTTGTGGAGGTTGTATGTATAGTTTGTGTGTCAGTTAAGTATATGTTGATTGTGTACTTTTTGGTATTCAAGTTTTGTAGTTTTGTAGATTATATATTTGTTTATTGTTTCTACATAATGTGGTATAAACCTCACATTTTTAACTGTTTATGTAGGTCATACACCATACGTGCTCCCAGTGGTGAAGGTTTGTATTAATCTGTATGTTTGTATGAGTGTTTTGAGTGTGTTGTTAGAGTGTGAGGTGAGTGATATGTGTTTAGGGTGTCTCAGAATAATGTCCCTCGACTCCCTGCCATCCCCTCTGCCTGCCCCCTTTGAGATACTAAGAGTTGGAGGGAGGGAGGCAGGGAGTAGGTAAGGAGGGAGGGATGGAGGGAGGGAGAGAGGGAGGGAGGCAGGGAGTAGGTAAGGAGGGAGGGATGGAGGGAGGGAGAGAGGGATGGAGGCATGTAAGGAGGGAGGGATGGAGGGAGGGAGGGAGGGAGGAGGAGGAGGTAAGGAGGGAGGGGATGGAGGGAGGGGAATGACGGGCAGTTTTCTGGGGCACCATATATATATATATAAACTGATACATTATATATTATACTATATTATATTTCCTTCCTAGCTGATGGCTTATGGTGGTGGAAATACTATATTGTTCTATGGCTGAAGACTTCTACTGATTAACATGTTAACTGTGGTATAAACACTAACATAACTAACACCATTATTAACATTTTCTCGTAGTATTATAAATCTTCCTTAACCACAGTTCTCACAGCCACAGTACCACACACGGAACCTCCCCCCGCCCTCCCTCCCTTTTTTTTTGGGGGGTCACTTAGTGTAAAATCAACTTTTTGTCTCTTTTTCCAGAGGGTCCACCTGTGTATTTCAACAAATCGATGCTCTTCAACTGCACAGCCTAAACCCATTAACACAACCCTCAAGTACACACCAAGTTAACAAAAAGTGGAGTAGTAAAGTGTGGCTGTGTGAATCTGCCATTCTCGCTGTCTACTGCTGCCTCCCTCCCTCCCCCCCTCTCAGGCTGGTGGTGGGGGCTGCAACGACGCTGGACCAGACCAACCATGGACCACCCTCTCCTGAGACTCCGCCTGGCTGTCGACCTTACCCAGATGGACGCATAGCACTTTCTTACTTCCAACAAGGACCCGGAGCTGCAAGGAGCCAAGAGTGTGCTAGGTGCTATGGTCGGTCTTCAGGTTGGGTGCCACACGAATCTAAACCTTACGGAAGACGAACTGGCTAATAACACCTTCTGGTTACGACTGAAGGCAGGGACGGACGTAAAGGTTACAAAAACCCCCTCTAGGAGTATGAGTAGTTTAGGGCGATATTCTGTTAGTCTATTGCTTGTTTTCCGACCTTTTTTGAAGAGAGTGGGTTAGCTGTGTCTTGGTCCGAGTACAAGTCGTGAGGTCCTCCTGCACGATTTCCGACGGTGTGGTTGAACCTCAGCTTGGATCTGAAATCTTTGCTGCCAATTACGTGTTTTTGTCGTGTCGGAGTTCTGAGACTTCCTTCACGTGAGGACAAGAAGTAAAACAAAACAAAATCACAAAAAAACAAAAAAAATATGTTAACAAATAATAATAATACAGAAATATCCTCAAGATAAACTCGTACAATGGACACCTCCCACCCTCCCAAAGTTGTGGAAAGGGATAAAAAGAAAAACAAAAACATTATGTATATTTTAACAGTAGTCGACAAGTTTGAGAACTGACGATAAACCTTAATAGTATGTGAGATAAAGAGAGACAGATAGAGAAAGAAAGATAGAGAAATCAAATAAATAAATGAGTGATTGATAAACTCGGAAGAAACTCCTAAACTGTTATTTAATTCCTCATCAAAACACTAATGTTAATGTCCAAAATAAATAAACAAATAAAAAAAAAAAATTAAAGAAAAAAAAAATAGTGCGAGGGATTATGTGAAGTTGAAACAAAAGTACATTTCTAAGTTAATCTATACAACTCTTTTGTTTACATCGCTGTTCGTGTGTTTTAATAAAGACCCTCCCCCAAAAAAATAATAATAAAAAATAAAATAAAAGTCATCTGGTATCTTTTTATTTAATAGATGGATGAACACATGGAAAACAATAATAGAATGACTTTATTCCTTAATTAATGGTAGACTCTAAGGTGTATCCAATTGAAGATGTTATTGAAAGAAAAAAAATATATATATATCATCGTGTTAGATTTTTTTTCAACTGAGTGATTTATTAATACAGAAAACAAGATTATTTATTATTATTATTATTATTATTATTATTATTATTATTATTTTTGGTTTATTTTGGTCAATTAGTTTATTGTGATGAAGGCATTTCAATCATTTTTACGGCATTTTTGACCTCCCCCACCTCCTCCTCCTCCTCCTCGTTCCCCCTACCCCACACACACACACACCCCTATTTAGTGTTTATAAGAAGGAGAGGTGGATGGGACCACCTTTAGAGTGCGTGAGTGACTGAGTGCGTGAGTGACTGAGTGCGTGAGTGACTGAGTGCGTGAGTGACTGAGTGTGTGAGTGGTGTTTGCTTATGTACTATACCACCGAGCCTATGTGAGTATTAAGCCTCCCCTTTTAACACGTGTTTTGTGTTATTAATTTTACCTGTAAACTTACCTTTTATTTCCTCACGGGGTAATAATGTAATTGATTGGAAATTAAATTATTGATAAAAAATAACTAAAAAATTTCTATGGGAGAATTAAAAAAAATCCTTAGGTAGGTTTTTTTTTTAAGTTTGCGTAGTCAGAGAACACACAGATATCTGAATGACACTTAAATAGTGTTAACTTATTATGTCTCAACAAATAAATAAGTCTTATTTATTTTACATGTGATGAAAAAAAAAATTACAATTTCCATTTTTTTTTCTTCTAATAATGTCTTATACATGTTGGGTATTATAACAGTATTGTAAAGATAATAATATTAATAAAATCTTAAGATGTGTTTTTGTTTGTTTGTTTGTTTTAGATAATTTTTTGTCTGTTTTTGTCTTGCAGAATAATTTTCAAAGTTAGGTTGTTTACATGTACTTGTGAAATCCATTACTTCTAGTCATTTCTGATTCGTCGATGCTAAAAACACACACACACACACACACACACACACACACACACACACACACACACACACACACACACACACACACACACACACACACACATAAGGCCATCAGAACCAATAAGGAGAGACCTGTAGGAGTTTCTCTGGCTATGCATACGTGTCCAATTGTTACCCACCACCCCATACCCCCACCCCCCCTGTTACACGGCAAACAACCATGAATTACTCCTCACTGGACTAAACAAAAAAATAAAATAATAAATAAATAAAAAAAACAATCCCAAAACACCATTCATACTAAATCAGTGACATTGTAGAATTTTCTCTTCAAACTTAATTATTATATAAACCCCCCCAAAAAAAAACTTGAAAAAAAACTTAATATTTGCTTTAGGTATTTTTGTAGTTAAAACACACACAAAAAAAGGTGAGGATTGTGATTTATGGTTTTTGTGCTTTAAAAAAAATTAATTAAAATTACTGAACTTACGAGTCTATTATATAATCGTTTTACAATATATATAGCAGACAAACTTCTCATAGAAACCAGAGCTGCTTTGTTCTCTAGATGATAAGACACAAATGTATGTACTTATGGAATAAATGTCAGGAGTTCTCTAAGAGTTTGTTATTATTTACCTGAGCTGTATATATTTGAGTTATTAATGAGTTTATTTACCTGAGCTATATTTAGAAAATGTCAAAATACTCGACTAGTTTTTAATAATTTACCTGGGCTAAATATGAGAGAAAAAGGACATTGTTTGCATCATTATTTTCATTATTTTACACTCATTTAGACCATTGTTTACACATTTAACATCATTTACATCCTACCATTGTTTACGTCACTTTTTCTATCATTGTTTATTTCATTATTTACATCAATTTACATTATTATTTCCACATTTTTTACATTTTTTACATTATGTCACTTTATTGTTACTGAATATGTCAACATTTGTCTTTAGATCAATATTTCGTGATGTTAAAGTTCGTGTTTACTTTTGTTGATTAGAAAGTAAATCAACATATTACTTTGAGTACATATTACACATATACCTGGAGATGACTGACACTGTGTTCCAGAAATACTCAAATAGTGTTTTGGTTAGTCCTATTTTCTTTTATTAAATGAAAGTATAAATAATAAAATAACGAATGATAGGAATAGGTAAATCAATCAATAAATTAGGAAATACTTGAAAGTTAATAAGAAATTAGTTAATGAAAGGAAGAGAGAGAGAGAGAGAGAGAGAGAGAGATGATGATAATTGATAACGATACCTGCTTATAATACCAGCCTATGACACCTGGATGACGTCACCAGAACAGGTAAGTGTAGGGGAAGAGAGAGGGGGGAGGGTGAGAGAGGAAGAGATTAGAGGAGGAAGAAAGAATGAAGAAGGTGGGGGAAGGAGGAGAGAGGGAAAACAGGATGGGGAAGGGGGGGGGAGAAGAAAGTGAGAGGAGGAAGATGCACTACTCCCTCCCCTTCCTTCCTCTCCTACTCATTCCCATCCCCCTCCTCCCATCCCCCCTTCCCCCCCGCTCCCTCTCCCCCTACCTGCTCGACCACGTCTTCTCCGCACTGCCCAACACACGACCCTGATGACCTAGACCAAGGCCTCGTCAGGTGAGTGTTGTTACCTGTACTAGTTAATGATCTCACCTTGATTACGGATCCAGGTGGATTATATTCTTCACCTGTAGAAGTTAATAATTACTGAAGGTGTTAAATGAGTAAAATATTCACCTGTAAAGTTATTATTCATTAGCCAGGTGAGTTATTATGAATGATTAATTACAGGTATATGTTGAGTTATTTAAACCCCAGTGAATGAGAGAATGCACAATCAAGATGAGAACACCTTGGCTAATTAGGACGACTCGACGTAATCAGGACAGGTGACACACAATTATGACGAAGGACTGTGGTACATGTCGTTAAATTATGTAACAACATAAAGTAAAGGAAAATGTATAATGTATTACTAAAAGCGTAATGAATAACAAAATATATAATGTATGATACAATGAATATCAAGAATATTATCAGCTGTAAATGGTACAAACAGACGCACGCAAGGAACCATTATCAAATTCAGCTAATAATTTTAAGTAATATATACAATAAAGAGTTTTATAAGTTAGTTGTGTTTCGTAAATCTGAGTTGACCAATAATTGTGGCACAGGTGTTTGTGTCTGATAATGCCAGGAACAATAGTTCGATAACACACACACAATATAAGCCAACATACGCGCACACATACACACAAACAAACACACACACACACACACACACACACACACACACACACACACCCTCACCGATGATAACAATAATCAAACTAAAGGCGGTGGCGGTGGTAGTGGTGGTGGCGGCGTCTGGTGGAGAGGGTCCCCACAGCCCCTCGCTAATCCTGCCTGAGAAACGAGAAAAGTTTTGGTGGAGACTTTGAGCTCATTACGACTGCAGTATCCTCATTACGTATGCACACACCCTCAACCAGGCAATCAAAATCATATGCTGGCGTCTTCTCCCCCTCCTCCTCTTCCTCCTCCTCTTCCCACCTCCCCAGCGACACCGATGGCATGGGGAGGATGGGAAGGAGGGGAGGGGAGGATGAGAGGGAGGGGGCATTGATGACTTGTTGGGGGAAGGATAGGCGAAAGGGAAGGAGAAGGGAGAGAGTAATGAGAAGGAGAAGGAGGAGGAGGGAGAGGAGGAGGAAAAAGAGGAGGGGAAGGTCGCTAATGGCTTAGGGAGGAAAGGCAGGAGGAGGAAGAGAAGGAGGAAGAAAAGGAAGAGGAAGAAGAGAAGGAGGTGGAAGAGGAGGAGGAGGTGGAAGAGGAGGAAGGGAAGATAGTTTCTTCAGCAACACCGACGGCGTTCCGGAGCTTCTCAAGTCGAGTCATTCTACAACTCTTTCATTTTCTCTAACTTATGATGGCTTGTTTGTATTATATTTTACCCTTATTACTATTTTTATTCCATTTTCTTATTTTTTTCTATTTTTTAAAGGAATTTGGTAACGTTTGGATGATCTGAGCCAATAACCAGAAGAAGTTTGGTCTCGTGTGATTCGTATGTCTCGTGTGACTCGACCCAATGAGGAAGTTTGGCCTCGTCGTGTTTCGTCCTACACTCGAGCACTCCTCAACATGGTTATTCAGATCTCGACCATGCAACGCCCTACGATCCCCTTAAGCGTCGTAGTTACAAAATAAAACTCAATTACTATATAAAAAAAATTATCTGAGGAAAAAATTTTGTCCTCTTAATGTATCTAAACTCTAAAATATTTTCTGAAGAATTTCCCGTACAATTATTAATATGAAGGAGGGGAATTTGAAAGAGATTTAAAATATATCTCTTAACCTCTTCACTACAAGGACGTTATTTTTAATATTTTATTGAAATTAACGTAAGATTTTAATAGAGTTTATTTACTATAAGGCTTTTCAGTGTTAAGTACAATGGAGATTATAACACTTGCAGTTAATTACAGAAATACGCTATAACATTACAGTGATTTTATTTATTTGAGCTATTAATTTTTGGTAATTTTATAAGACTTGATGGGAATAGTTCAGGATATTTTGAAGTCATTTGTTTATATCTGACTTCACCACACAGTTCATTCCTCTAGTATAGTTATCCAGTTCTTTCATCGACCATCACATCTAACTGCTTATTTTGCGAATCATTTCACTAACTGGAACAAAATCACGAATACTTGCCAACAGTGGAACAGAATCACGTTAATACTTGCCAACAGTGGAACAGAATCACGTTAATACTTGCCAACAGTGGAACAGAATCACGTTAATACTTGCCCACAGTGGAACAGAATCACGTTAATACTGTACTTGCCAACAGTGGAACAGAATCACGTTAATACTTGCCAACAGTGGAACAGAATCACGTTAATACTTGCCAACAGTGGAACAGAATCACGAATACTTACCAACATCTCAATTACCTTAGTAAGTTGAGGGCCTTGCAAGTAACGCCTCTTCATTGAAACACTTACTTGGCTAAAACAAAAACAATGAAAGTCGTAACCAAAGTAAATCCCAATAACTTGTTCAAGATATCAAACACTATAGAACAACAACAATAACAAATACATTCAGTTATCTCATTTGACGGAACAAACACAAAAAGCCTACATAAATTTCCCTGTTTTATTGAAGATTCGTGCATAATAACATACACATAAGAGCAATAACAACAAAATAAAAACATGAGAAAAAAAAGAAAATAAAAACAAACAAGAGAAACAAAATAGCAAAACAAAAAAAACGACAAATAACAAAAACAAAAAACAAAAACAAAAAACAAAAACAAAAACAATAAAACAAAAACATCAACAAAACAAAAAATCAACAAAAGAAAAACAATAACAACCACCACCACCACCAACCACAAGACACATCTCATCCACATTACACATTAAGAGTAACACAGTGGCTCTCCTCCCAGTCACTGCACCCAAACATACGAGGCCAGCCACCGTGATTACTCTGTACAGACTCCTCGCTGGCTGCACAAACTACCAATTATCCGTCAGCATCTATAACGGGCTTACTAAATACAAAAGAAAATATATATATATATACCTTTGTGAGATATGTTTTCTGGGGCTAAATTTCAATGAGTCTGGAATGTGGGTGTTTTTATTCACTTGTTTTTTTTGTGTTTTTTGTTTTGGGGGTTTGTTTTATATTTTGTTTTACTTGTATTTTATAGATTTTATTTTTTTGTGATTATTAATTTTTTTTTTTTTTTTTGTTTTGTTGATTCTTGTTTTTTTAGTTTGTTTTTGGTTTTGTTTTGCTGTTTTGTTTTGATAGATTCTTGTTTTATTTCTTGTTTTTATTTTTTGGGGTGATTAATAAACCTCCGTTTTATTGTTTTTGTTTTGTTTTAGGTTTAATAAATTCTCCTAATATATCCCTATCAATAAGTACGAGTTAATTTACCACAAACTCTAACTTCTCTTCTAATTACGGTTTGTTTACACCTAAGAAACGCCATTACAATCCTTCCACCTAAGAAACGCCATTACAATCCTTACACCCAAGAAACGCCATTACAATCCTTACACCTAAGAAACGCCATTACAATCCTTACACCCAAGAAACGCCATTACAATCCTTACACCTAAGAAACGCCATTACAATCCTTCCACCTAAGAAACGCCATTACAATCCTTCCACCTAAGAAACGCCATTACAATCCTTCCACCTAAGAAACGCCATTACAATCCTTCCACCTAAGAAACGCCATTACAATCCTTCCACCTAAGAAACGCCATTACAATCCTTCCCTTCACCGATTGTCATTTGTTTTACACACATAACCTGTTACAGTAGGTTAAAAAAAAAATACCGCAACATCCCCATCTAGACTAAGGTATCATTATGGTACACACTGTATTTAGCTTGGACCGGTTGTAAGTTGTGTTCAGGTAAAATAAAAATAATCAATAACAAGTTGTAAATATTTATAACCACAATAATTTAAGGATATTTAAAGATATAGATGACGTTAATGGTAGTAAGTTACATAACGATGCATTACATAAATTCAAATCAAAAGTCATATGTAAAT